GCATGACGAGAAAAGGAAAAGAAAGGCGTGTACCAGTCTCAAAAAGTCTCCATGTTGAGCATCTTCTGCTTCAATAGCGTTGTCGAGAATCCCTCCAGGCGTTGCACTATACCATGTACACTATTATAAACAAAGATTAATAGAGAAGAACTGCATACCTGTGACCAATTACAAATTTTATGATAATGCCTTTCTCTTGTTCTAGCTGCTTCCGTTTTTCACCTGTAAGAAAAAATTGTTCAAGGGCGACTGAAAACAATTAAGAGCGTACCAGTAGGCATCCAAGTCTCACGAATGGAATCTCTTCTTTTCCGACTGCTGAAAGCCGTATTGATCCCAATCACAACGAAAACTTTTTGCCTGGCTTCGCCGGTTTTCTCCATTGCAGGCTTCTCAGCAGCTCCACCCCCAATCGTCGATGCTTGAGCCGCTCGAACTGCGGCCAATTCCATTTCCAAGGAAGAAATGGTTTTGTCCAAGTTTCTGAGAGAGAAAAATAAAATAAAATGATATCTAAGCGTGCCAAAGACAAACCTTATAGCTTGATGAGTCTTAGATACCTCAACGTAGACTTCACGCTCAGGAGTAACTGGTTTCTTCACAAAACACAAAACTGGTTTCATTCCACCACCTGGATGGGAAAACCGGACAGCTTACCGGCTTTGGATCGCATTGTATCTCGGTAACAAGCTGCAAATGCTCAGTGTTAACAGGAGCTTTGAGTGCTTCAGCTTCAAAGTCCTCAGACATATTCCACATTCTACCACAAGGAAGTCCGTCAGCTGATTGATTAGCACAGGAACTCTAATGTCTCTACCTGTTTGTAAACAACATCCCGACGAGGAAACTGGAAACGCACAGCACAACCATCCATTTTGCAGAGATAGCCGATGCTCCTTTAAGTTTCATCGCTGCAGCATGCCGCTACCTCAAAGACCTTGCATTCTCCTATCTAGTAAGATTGGCGCACAGAGATGGAAAGCTGCTGGAGGGAAGAAAGTCGCACAGGACAACGAAGAAGCTCTTGACAAAGAGAAGGCAAATGAGAAACAAAAACGAGAAAACCCACAGAAACGCGAGGAGGACGAGGGGTACCCAGCCTACAGCGGGATCGGATGAAGAACTCAACACCGGCCTCAACATCCAAAGGGAAAGAAAAAGAAGAGGAAAAAAAAAGGATTTTTCTCCTGTCTTTGCTTGAACGACTGGCCTGTCCCTGTGGCAACACCACCCGGAGTGCTTGAAATACTTGAGCCCTCTGTCCCTGTTCCCGGTATCGACGTTTGGTATCCTCTACTTCCGCTAACAATCCGACAAATCCAAGTGTCATTCGAGAGGAATTCCCTTTTCCTCGTTTCTCTGGTTTTCCTGATTCCCTGCTAGGCCTGGAAGAGCCGCGACGCTCTTCAGCAGACGCCCTCAACCAAACTTTGGCCGGAAAAGAGAGCCACCGTTCTCACACAACCAAGTGTGTGCTGGAAAACCACGAGTATATTCTGCGGCTTCAGCACATTCCGTTCCCACGGCCGTTGGAAAGCAGACCACGGGATTTCGTTGACAGTTACCACTGACATGAGAGAGAAAAAGTTCTGGTTCGTGCTCAAGTGTTTTCCGGCGTATCACTGGTAGGACGTCGCTTCTTTCCCAAAACCGGAGCTTTCTCTAGCCGGGTCCCCTCCAGCCGCCACTTTCTAAACGCTTTCATGGACTCGGCGCCAGCCTCAAACACTGTAGAGAAGAAAAAGGACGAAAACTCGGGAGTGATATACAAAGCGAAATTATGCTTACGTCGAGTTTCTTCTCTCGTGAGACGCGCCAAGAACTTGGGCGTCACGGTACCGGCGGCAGTGTGTGATTTGCACAGCAAATCCCTGTAGCGGCCGCGGAGGGAAAACATGAGGAACGAACCGAGTGTCGCATCTTGAGCGCTGACAAAAGAGACGATGAGGACAAATTCTGCCGCTTGCGGGCGATGGAGCCTACTTACAGCGGGACCAACTTGCAGCCAAGCTCGTAGAAGTAAGGACACCTGCTTCGCAAATCGACACATCCGGGATCCGCTTTAACTTCCTTTCGAATGCTGTGGGAATCAAAATGTTAGGAAGGAGTACGACGAGAAATAATCAACGCAAAAGCTCCAGGATGAACGCAAAAATAAAAGAACTAAAAGACAACACAATTATACAGGAAAACACACACAAGAAAAAGAATGTCATTCTACTTCCTCTATCATGTTTAAAAAGAAGAAGAAGAAAGCAGTATGGGGTAAAAGACAACACAATTATACAGGAAAAAAAAAAAAGGAATCGCATTCTCGCTCATGTTCTCAAAGAAAAAAAAAGAATCCGAAGAACGCGAAGAACAAGAACACAAGGAGGAAGAAAGAAACATCTCAAGGTAAACAAGCGTACCGTTCATTGTAGAAGTTTGGGAGTTTTAACGACACGGCTTGGCTGTACCAAAGCTCCTGCGCCAGCCAAAAGGGAAGCTCGACTTTGGATCCTACCTCTACCTTCGCGAAGGAACAAAGAATTTCGAGCACAGGAATTCGATCACTTACCTGGTTTTCTTCCGCGCTCGGATCTAGGATCCCTACTCCAGCGGCCGCGACGCGGAACTGCACTCCCACAGGCTGCAAGACGATGGGATGAATTTAGATCTCGATCTAGATCGCAAGCGAGCTCACCTCTTCCTCCGCGAGGATATCATCCAGATCGAAGTAGCTCCCCATGACGCCCCAAATGCCCTCAAGCTCCCGCCTAGTACTTCGAATTTAGGGCTTCCATTTGGCGCGCTTTGGGGCTAGGGTCTCCCGGGCGCCTGGGCTGCGCTATTCGCGATGGTGAGTGCCCGTGATTCTCCTCCCGATAGGAAATGCGGGGCGATCTCTTGATCTAATGTGCTTGTGCCATGCCAGGAGGAGAGAGTGGAGGTCATGGATAAGCAGCAGGCAAAAGCTTTGAAAGAGGCACAGCGACTGGTATTGTTCTTCCTTGTGGGCGAATGTTTTGTGTGATCTATGGCAATGCAGGCAAAGGAAAGGGAACGGGAAGAGCATCGAGCCAAAAGGGCTGAGAACTTAGCGAAGAAAGAGCAAGCTAGGGCTGAAAGAGAGGCTCTCAAGCACGTAAGGACTTTTGTGTTTTGTCTATCTATCCTACCTTTGCCCTTCGATGGATCAGGAGAAGGAAGCGCAGAAAGAAAAAAAACGCTTAGCCAAAGAAGAAGCCGAGAGGAAAAGAAATGCTGTCATCCAAAAACAAGCTGGGATCATGAACAAGTTTTTTGTTAAAGAGAAACCTCCAGCGCCATTGGAGAGGAGTCCCGTGAAGGAGGCTCCCAAGGAAAATGTCGTAATGTCTGCCATGGATCGAGTTCTTGCTACGATTCATACGGAAGCGAACGAAGTGGAGGTTTTCAGGTGATATTAATCTGTTTTGCATGGTCTTCTGACTTGTTTTGCGACTTTTGTTGCTGTAGGAGACACTTCGATGAATGGAGAACCTCCCGACGCCAGAAAAAATTTGTGACTTGGGGTTTGAGGAGAGAACCAAAGGTGGACGTGCTCAAGCAGCCAAAGCTCCAGCGAGATGTCGACGTTTCTAACGAGATCAGTCCTACAGCATTACCCAGTGGGACGCCTTGCATGAAGCTTCTACAATTTCACAAGTGTTTCAGACCGGCGTACTATGGGACACATTCCAAAAAGAGGTTTGGAGCTTCAATGTGTTGAATGTAGCTTAGTTGTTGATCGTCTTGCGCAGCAATGTTATCGGCGCTCGTCATCCATTGAGGAAAGAACCATCACTTGACTACGCTGTTGATAGCGACGATGAATGGGAAGAGGTAGCTCGCCTTGTGCTGGTACTAACAGATCACTGAGCGTATCTTATGTATCTAGGAGGAGCCTGGAGAGAACCTTTCTGACTTAGATGAACCTGAGGAAGAAGAGAAGATGGACGACGATGACAGCGCAGATGACTTTGTCGTTCCAGATGGCTACTTCTCGGCAGATGAGGTGCCCCTTTTACTTTCTTCACTACAGATACTGTGAACTTTCTTTTGTTAGCAGGGACTGGACATGGACACCTGTGAAAATCAAAACAGCTGCTCGTCAAGTCAGGTCCCAAACACTGAAAATGTCAAGAACATTCTCGACAGCGTTGCCGAGCGCGCTCTCAAGCACAATTGTCCGTTTGTGCTGCGGAACTTCACTGCGAACTCAACCAGCCAGGACTCCGACAGCGTTTCTCCTTATCGGGATTCGTGTCTTAAAGCGCTAGAGATACGAGTTCTAGCCGAAGATATATCCATCGAGCCTGTTACTGAGGAGTACGAAGCCTACCCCCAGGAAGTGAAGACACCAATCACTGGCGTCAGGAGGCGAAGGAAGAGAGAATTAGCCGATTCGGCGCTGCCTGAGATTGTAAGTTGCATTCCCTTGTGGACCTTGACACTGATTCTTTTTTTTTTCTCGTCTGTGTAGGTGCGATTCCTGCAAGAGTCCTCGACATTGGGAATGAAAAAGATTGTGGAGTCTCTCTCGCAAAGATTTCCAGGTATTCCAAAATCAACGTTGACATCGAAAGTACGCGAAATCTCCACTTACACTGACAATCACTGGAAGGTAAAAGCGAATGCGTTCTCCTTTCTTTTGATTCTAACACTAAGCTTATATCCAGGTTAAAGACGAAGTTTTGGCTTTACTGCAGCCTCAAAAGAAGAAGTCTCTTGACGATGAAGGTGAAACGCTTCTTCTCTAAGTAGTTTCTTCGTCCTCTTACCAGCTTTGCGATTCTTACAGAAAAAAAAGACGATCAACCTGTGGCATGCATCAACGTCATGCAAAAACGCTGCTTGCCTAACAACGACGAGCCCAACAACGAGCCTAACGACGACGCGTAATAACATTTTGTATATAGAGCCTCGATATTATTGCTGGTCAAAATTATGCGATGCGTTCTATTATCTGACAAGGAGATCTCTCGGCTTCTCAAGCTCTGTGGCAACACAAGAGACCTTCTCCAAGGCAGGGAGATCCACTCCTTTATTCTAAATAGTGTTTACAAAGAAGATAGATGGCTCACAAATCTCCTCATTGAAATGTATGGCAAGTGTGGCAGCATCCAGGATGCAGAGCTGGTATTTAACGAGATTCCCAGCGAGTGCCGGAATCTCTTTTCGTGGAACATCATGCTCCAGGCATATTCTCACAACAGGCATCTTTGCGAGGCAAAGGCCTGCTTTGATTCCATGCCTAAGCGCGACGTTGTTTCATGGACTAGTATCTTCTCGGTATATGCCCAAGAAAGGCATCTTGCTGAAGCTCGCCAGGTGGCGGAGATGATGCCGTACAGGGACGTTGTGTCGTGGAACGCGGTGATCCAAGCGGATGCCAGGGGTGGCCGCCTTGCTGGCGCCAAGTGGCAGTTTGACAGGCTGCCACGTCGCAGCACAGCCACGTGGAACTCCTTGGTGGCGGCATTTGCCGAGAGCGGGCTTCTCGCCGGCGCCGAGGAGCTCTACGCGAGAATGCCCTGTCACGACGTTGCTGCCGCCACCGCGATGATCCAGATCCACGGCGAGGCTGGGAACATCCTCGATTGCGAATCGCTGTTTGCTGGAATCCCCAAGGATGATCGCGATCTCGTGCTGTGGGGCGCGATGCTGGCTTGCTACGCGCAGAATGGATTCCACGAGAGAGTTCTTGAGTGCTTCGACTTGATGCCTCACAGGGACGTGTTCTCGTGGGCGATCGCGATCCAGGCGCTGGCGATCCACAGGGGCGATTTGTCTCGCGCGGCTGCGATGCTGGGTAAAATGCCGCAGCACAACGTATTCTCGCTTAATGCGCTTCTTTTGGCGAGCACGCAAAACAAGAACCTTGACGTAACTATCGCGATGTTCAAGAATATGCTCCACCGGGATCTCTTGTCGTGGGCAACGCTGATCTCGGCATATGCCCGTGCTGGGTATCTGGAATATGCGTGTGGATACTTGACACAGATGCCCATGTACGACACATCGGCGTGGCTCCCGGTGCTAGCGGTGTATGCTCGTACGGGTCAGCTGGACGAGGTGAAGAAATTCTTGAAGGAAATCCCGTACATAGACGCGAGTACGTGGAATGTTATCACTGCCGCATACGCCGAAGGTGGGCATATTTTAACACAGCCATGTTTTAGTTCTAGTTTTGAGGTGTTTTGGACGCTGCAACTGACAGAGTTTATTTTGCGCGGAGAGCTTGAGTCTGCTAAAGATATTTTTGATCATAACAATGGTAAATCTCTAGAGCTTTGGACCCAATTGCTTGCTGCGTATGCCCGGCAAAGCCATCCTGATGCTGCCAGGGCTCAGTTTGTAAAAATGCCCCTTCACGATTTGGTATCCTGGACAGCCATGCTTGAGGCTTTAGTTCGGGGCCAAGAAACAAAAGAAGCACAAATATTGTTTGAGAGATTCCCTTACCGTGACATGGTTGCGTGGTGTACGTTGCTAGCGGCATATGCCCAATGCGGGCATCTGGAGGACGCAAAGGAGCTCTTTATGAAAATGCCCGTACATGACGTGCTCTCGTGGACCACCATGATACAATGGTACGGCTGGCGCGGCCACGTGGCCCAAGCGCAGCAGATGCTGGAGCAAATGCCCGAACGCCACATGGATGCCGATGTGGCCGTCTTGGCCGCGCATGCCCAGGCCGGGCATATCGGCCAGGCGCGCGAACTCTTCGACGCGATGAAAGCCCCATTTCGCGATCTGGAGCTCTGGAACGCGATGATCGCCGGCTACGCGCGCAGCGGCCTTGGCGATGGCGCGCTGGATTTCTTCCGGGGGATGGAGCTCGAGGGGATTACGCCCAACGAGGCGAGCTTGGCGGCGATCCTGTTCGCGTGCAGCCATGGCGGGATTGGCATCGAGCGATTCGTGGCGATTGCTCGAGACCACGGTGATGGATCGGAGAAAGAGGAGGAGAGCCTCAACCATTTCCTCCATGGCGTGGTGGATGCTCTAGCGCGGGCGGGGCGGCTGAGCGAGGCGGAGGAGCTCCTCCATGCGATGCCGCATTTGCCCGAGGCGATGACTTGGAAGGCCGTGCTTAGTGCTTGCCGGATCCAATCCGATGTGGATCGCGGCAAACGCATTGCCGCTGGCGCCGCTGGGGCGAATCCACACGACCCAGCGCCGTTCTCGCTCCTCTCTAGCATCTTCGCGGTCTAAGAATTCACACACGATCCATGACACTGATCATAGCATCATCCATTACCAGTAGTCTCCACAAGAACACTGGCCATCGCGAAACTTGTGGAACCGGCTGCTATCCCTGACGATGATCTCTCGCCGCGCAATCGCCGAGATGAACTTCACGGCCGAGTGGCAGTCGTGGCAGATCCTCAGCGTGTTGAAGATCCGGAGCGTCGTCCCTGGAGCAGTAGCGATCAACCCAAACGCGATGGCGAGCTTCTCGCTGTGGAGCCGGAGTAGCAGCTCCTTCTCCTTCTCCCCGACGTCGTGAAGAACTTCCTCGCTCTCTGGAACGTAGCCGGCTTCCTTGATCTTGGGAGACAATCGCTGGAGCTCGGCGAAGATCTCTTGGAACCGCGGATGAGAATTGTCCCCAACGTTAAACTCGTGGATCTGGTCCGCCACCTCGATCCAGCTGCTGCCCCGGCGCTTCTTCACGCCCCTGGCCACCATGGTGTTCCTCACGCTCGCCATGCCGGCTAAGTTCCCAGTGACCGCGTGAACGTTGGAGAGGAGGACGTAGCTCGCGGGATCGACTGGATCGAGCTTAGTTATCTGTCCGGCTGCGTGAGTTGCTCGCTTGACATCTTTGTGGATCCTGGACGCCCCCAGCAGCGAGCTCCAGGTCACGTCGTTTGGTTCCACCGGCATTGCGTTGATGAGCTCCTCCGCGTCGCTGAGTCGTCCAGCGCGGCTGAGGAGATCGATGATGCAGCTGTAGTGGGCGATGTTTGGATGCATGGCGTAGTCGCTCTGGATCGAAATGAAGAGCTGCTTGCCTTGTTCTTGGAGGCCGGCGTGGCTGCAGGCGTAGAGAACCACCATGAAAGTTAGCTCGCTCGGCTCGGCGCCTTCGAGCTCCATCTCTTTGTAAAGCCCGAGAGCCAGTCCGTGCTCACCGTGCTTCGCATAGCCTGCAATCAAAGTCGTCCAGGCTAGAGTGTCTCTCGAGCTCATCTTGTCAAAGACTTGCCTGGCGCTCTCCAGATTTCCCCAGCGGCTGTACATGTTGACGAGCGATGTTGCCAAGACGAAGTCCGAGATCATTCCATCGGCTTCTATGTCGCTGTGAGCTTGCCTGGCATCAGCAAAGGCCCCCAGGCTCGCGCAGGCCGAGATGACGCAGCTGTAAATGATCTTGGTCGCTGGAACTTTGGTGGTGTTCTTCATCTCTCGGTAGAGTTCCAACACTCCAGTTCTGTGGCCTTGTTTCGAGTATCCTCCGATCAAAACTGTCCAAAGTCCCTCGTCCCTGTTCTCTATCTGATCAAACAAGCTCCTTGCTTCGTCAAGGCTGCCGTAGCTCGTGTACAAGTCCACCAGTGCTGTCCCATTGACGAGAGTGATCTTGTAACCATTTCCGAGGATCTGGTCGTGGACAGCTCTTCCCGCTCGGAGATCTCCCACACTTGCACAAGCGAGCAAAACGCTGGCGAAGGTGTAGTAGTTTGGACGGACTCCTTCCAGCTGCATCTTCGAGTAGAACTCTATCGCCTCGTCAAAGAGGTCTGTCTCTGCAAACGCTGCTATCATCGCGCTCCAGGAAACAACGTCTCGCCTGGGAAGCCTTTGGAAGATCTTCGCAGCGTCGTCCAAGCACTTGCAGCGAGCGTACATCGTCAGCAAAGCATTCTGCAAGGAAAGATCGAGCTCCGTGCCACGGGAAGAAATCAAAGCATGGATTTTTCTACCTTGATCCAGCAGACCCAAGTTGGAGCAGGCGCTCAGCACCGAGGTGAAAGTCCGGACGCTCGGTTCCACGTCCATGTCCTCGTAGAGTCGAATGGCCTCCTCAAAGTGCCCGCTTTGAGCGTATGCCGCAATCATGGCGTTCCACGAAGAAACGCTCCTCCCAGACATTCTCTCGAACAAGCGCTTGGCATCCTCCAAGCTCCCACATTTCGCGTACATGGTGAGCAAAGAGTTCTCCAAGATCACGTCCAGCTTCAAGCCTTTCGTCCCAGAAATCCGAGAGTGGATCGCTTTTCCCTCCTCAAGAGCTTTGATGCTGGCACAGGCGCCCAGAACGGTGGTATAGACCACGGGATTTGGCTGGAGATCCATCCTCTTGTAAAGATCCAAGGCGGCCCTGTAATGCCCGTTCTGAGCATATGCGGTAAGCATGCTACCCCAAGAGTAGTCGTTCTTCCTCGCGATCGCATCGAATGCCGCCCGGGCGCTGGCCACACTGCCGCATTTTCCATAGGCCCTGACGATCTCATTCCCCAGGAAGACATTGGCGCTAGCAGCGCCAGAGATGCGATCGTGGATTTGCCTCACACTTTCGAGATCCTGGCATTGGCGAAGGGCATCCCGGTAGTGGCCGCTAGAATCAAAACGAGATCCTGCCTTCTCCTCCTTGAGCTGGAATCTTCTTACCTTAGCCGGCGCCAGGCTGCGTTTCATGCCATCGCCCAGGAGCCCTAGAAATTTGCCGTTAGGATAGAATTTAGGGAATAAGAATATGCGCTCATTTTGCCGCTCAATGGATCTCTGGGCTAGGGTTCTATGATCGCGTGGAGCGAACGCCATGGCCCTAGATCGAGTGGAGCTGGGCGCCGGCCTGTGATGGTTCACGGCGGATGGAGTCGGAGGTGAGTGAGGACCTGCTGGTGTTTGTGGAAGCCACATTTCTTTCCTGGTGTGATTTCCAGGCCCTATTGTGGTCGCAGCCCGACTGGACGGGGCATTTGGACGTCTACAAGGAGGACGCGCGTGTTTGGGAGAGGCGATTTTTCCTTTTACAGGGATCGTTTCTCTTCTCTTTCAAGAATGAGGTATTGTTTGTTCTTGCCTTATTTTTCGACCTCCAATTATGATTGCGATGGTTTCAGCTTGACAGAAGCTCCCCTTTGGGAGTCATTGCTCTCGAAGGATGTCAAGTCGAGGAAGTTCCTGGTGATGCCTCCCGAAAGCACAAGCTCGTTGTAAAGCTCGGTCCGGAATATGCTGCCTTTGGGAATCATGACCAGTATTTTCTTTCGACATCATCTTCTGAATCACTGGTTTGTACCTTTGTTTTTTTTTCTTTTGTGTAAAATTCTAATTTCCGTACCGCACTTCTTGTAGAGAAGTGCGATACGGAGACTGGAAGATGCATCAGATCCTCCAGAAGTTCTTTTTCGTACAGCAAATCTTTTTTGCATCACCCCGGCTATTGCTTCGTTTATTTATTTTATCTTTTTTGAAGGCTATCTCAACAAAACGTGGGCTAGAGCTGGCGAGTTAAGACATCTTTTGGCCAAGTCTCCCAATGATAAGACAGAACTTGAATCTATCAAAAGCCTTGAAGCGCAATCTGTGAAGGTGAAGTTTCTTTTTCTCTTCTCGTTTTTTTCTTTCCACTGGCGAACTTGCTATTGAAACTTCCATTCTAATGTAGGTAACAGACGGAATTGGCTAAAACGTACGTGGAGAAGGAAGCGTTGCTCAAAAAAGTAGATAGACAGTGTGCCGAGGCAGATATAAAAGAAAAAGATTTGTGGAAAGTACAGATTCTCCGGGACATCTTAAACTCCAAGGGTTTGATATGCAGCTGGGTTGGACGTACATAAATAACAAAGTCATTGCAGGAAATGCGGGGGATGTCCTTTTAAAGCTACAAAAGGAAACTCGATTGACCAGGGATGCCGTTGAACTCTTGCAAAAGAGAGCAAACTATCTGCAAGGGCAAGGTCTTGAAGATGTAACAATTTCTGATCTTGCATTGCTATTGACCGCTTTTAACTGCAATGTTTCTGTTCTACAGCTCTCTGAAGATTCTCGCAAGTCTCTGCATCGCAAGCTAAGGCTGGCCCTTGAGGCAATAAACGAGCGACATGCCAGGGTAGGATCGTATCACCATTTGCTGGTTTCTGAGTGCAGTTCATACAGATACGCGCTGAAGCTCCGCGGTACTCCTTTCCTGTGAACCCTCAGATATACTACCGAGGTGGCCATTCCAAGGTTAGTATTCTCAGAAGCATAACAGGTCTACACAGGACAATGACTCTCCCATCCCAATTCCAACGCTCGGTGTCACCAGCACCCTTCGTTCGTCCTCTTAGTCCTGCAACTCCAAAAAGTCCACGTAGACCACCCAGTCCTCTTTCCCCTCAGCTGCCAGAATCTAAACCTTCTTCACCGCCAATTCCTCCCACAGACAACTCAAAAACTAAAGAAGGAAAGCGGTTTTTCAACCCTTTAAAGCTGCTTCCATTTCACCTCAAGTCATTCTTTCCCAAGTCATCCAAGTCTGACAAACATATAAAGGTGTCAAAGCCAGCTGAATCTCCTCCAAAGTCACCTGTGTTATCATCGAGAGAAAGTTTAAGCCATCCACATTTGACGACTTTTACGACTCCACTTTCGTCAGTTCCCAGAACTTCTGTCCAGTCATCACCTTATCCTCCTCATTTTTCGCCACAATCCTTGAGAGGCATTCTTCCGTCTCATATGAAAGCGTCAGTCCAGCAGCCTAGCTCCCCACTCGTGCTTCAGAAACTCGGACCACGTACACTGTCGTTTCACCAGCAACAAGCAAAGCCAGTGTCATCCATTGATTCGTCTCGTACTTCTTCAACAGTTTCTTCACCAGTCTTTAAGCTATCGCCATCTTCTCTGCGTGGAAAACTGCCTCCAAGCTCTAAGGCTAAAATACATAAGCCAGCAGACGAGCTCTTCCCTCCATTTGAGTTTAAAGTTCCAACAATACCTTCTAAACTTCCCACTCCAGGCTTCACATCACTTTCAGCGTCATCTGCTGCAACCCCGCGCTTTTTATCTCCTGAACGTCAATCTTCGCCATCTCAGAAGTTTCTACCGACGGTAACACCATTCTCTTCAAAACTTGTGTCGTCTCCAGCTGCTGAATGTCCTCAAACGCCATCAACCTCTCAAACGCCACCAAAACTGCCACTAAGTTCACCTCAAACGCCGCCATCGCCATCTCAAACGCCACCTCCACAAGTTCCAATCTCTGGATCTTCTCCAAGTGTCCGGCCATCGATTCTAGCACAGCCGGCTGTTTCGGCTCGATCACCATCCAGTGTAACAGCAACTTCACCACCACATTCTCGAGCTCTGCCGCCATCTCCCGCTGCTCCTATAATTCCAGCTACTTCTCCTCGACAAGTTCCAGCTGCTCCCCCAGTTTCTCTTGAAGCTCCGAGAGTGTCTCCTCCTCGATCTCCAATTCTACCACCAAGACCCGATGCTCAAGTTCCACCTCCGCCAGCTTTTCAAGTTCCATCAGCGTCTGTTCAACCTCGGCCAGCTCTTCAACTTTGTACTGCGTCCGGCCAACAACCGACGCCTCCGCCGCCTCCTATAGCTCCTCCCGGACCAACGTCACCTTCTCGATCTCCGCCTAAAGCTGCGAGTCCTCGAGCGCCAACTGTTCAAGGTCTGACTCTGCCTACATCGCCTTCGACGTCAACAACACTTGCTACTGGATCTATCCCAGCACCTCAACCGACGTCTCCACCGTCACACAAAGTTTCTTCACCGAAGTCACCAGTACCTCAAGTTGGATCTTTGCGTGAAGCTCGAGCTCCGGTTCGACCTCTTGCAGCTCTTCAAGTTCCTGGTCCACAACCGAAGTCTCTACCTCCTTCTAAAGTTTCTCCACCTAAGTCACCACCACCTCAAGTCGGAGTACCATCTCGACAACCAGCACCACTAGCTGCTGTTCACGTTCCTGGTCCACAACCGGCTCCACCACCATCTAAAGTTTCTCCGCCGAAGTCACCACCACCTCAAGTTTCTGAAGCTCGAACTGCACCAGCTCCGCCTGCAGCTCTTCAGTCTTCACCGCCTTCCAAATCTTCGCCACCGAAGTCACCACCACCTTCCAAAGTTTCGCCACCAAAGTCACAACCACCTCAAGTTCCTGCAACTCGACAGCCAGCACTTGCAACTCTTCACGCTCCGGCTCCACCGAAGCCACCACCACCTCAAGCTCCTCAAGCTCGAGTTGCAACTCCTCCACCAGCACCGCCTGCAGCTCTACAACCCGCTTCACCGCCTAAAGTTTCTCCACATAAGTCCCCACCACCTCAAGCTCCTGAAGCTCGAGCTCCAACTCGACCACCAGCACCGCCTGCACCACTTCACGCTCCTGATCCACAACTAGCTTCACCATCTAAAGTTTCTCCACCGAAGTCACCACCATCTCAAGCTCCTGAAGCTCAAGCTCCAACTCGACCACCAGCACCACCAACTCCTGCCGCTCCAACTGTGTCCGGTTCACAATCGACGGTGACTCCACCTTTTCGACCTTCTCCCCCTGCGACTGCCTCTCCTCCTCGACCACAGTGGGTGCCTCTGACTTCTGCAGCTCTTCAAGTTCCGATTGTGGCTACATCTCCACATCAAGCTCTGAGTGTCTCTGCTCCTCGGGCTTCAGCACGACCATCACCTTCTGCTGCTCAAGTGCCACTCCATGCTCAAGCTTCTTCTCCATCGGCATCACCACCTCGAACAGGATCTCTACTACCAGCGCGACCTCCAGTTGCTCATAGTTTATCTCCTCCACAAGCTCCACCAGGTACGTCGCCACCATCTCAGCTGCTTCTGAATTTCCACTTACAGGTGTTTCAAGTGTCTCTTCTCGAGCTCAAGCTCCAACAGCGTCTATCCCTCCGCCTCGAACACCAACATCGCCACCACCTTTGAGAGCTCCAGCGCCTCCTCCAGCACCTCCTCCGGTTCCCATTGCGTCCGGCAGTGCTGTTGTAAACCGTCCAGCATTTACTCCGGGATCGCCACCTTTTCGAGCTCCTTCACAAGTTTTTCTGCCAACCATGTCTGGACCACAGCGACCACAGCCGCAACCAGTTTCTTCTCATCCGCCGGCAGCACAAGCTCCTCAAGGACCTCGAGCTCCACCGCCGCTTCCGCAAGGGCCTCCTCGAGCTCCAATGCCGGTGCCTCCTTCTCAACGTCCGTTTGTTTCTCCGCAAGGTCGTCCTCTACCTGCAGCACCTCCTGCTATCAGTGCAGCCCCTCTTAGACCGCCTCCTCCACTTCTTCAACGTCCACCATTTTCGAGTTCACCCCTGCAAGGTCCTCCACCACGTCCGGCTTTTGTTGCTCCACAGGCTTTGGGCCCTACACCTTCATCAGATCTCTATGCGCGCCCGGCAACTTTCCAGAGAATGCTTGCTCCACCGGGTTCTAGAACTCCACCGCCGCCGCCACCACTTCCTCCTCAACGTGGCCAAGCACCAGGTCCACCGCCGACTCCAAGAATGCCAGGAACTGGAGCTATGCTCAGAGCACCCCTGGCAGCTGGTCCTGTAGAGCAAAGGCCGCCACCTCAACAGCCTTCACCGTTTCCAGCGGCAACACCTCAGCAAGGAGGGCCACCTCCATTTCCAGCAGCTAGACCACCTCAACAAACAGCACCATCTCCATCTTCCGCGGGGCCTTCTCCTGGACTGTCACCATTTCAGGCGAGGGCAGCTCAAGGACCACCTCCACCTCCACTTCCGCCGCCTCCTCGTCCCTTTCCTTCTTCGCTGCAGCGAGGTCCTGGTCCTCCACAGCCATCGCAGCAGCGAGCTCCTGGTCCTCCACAGCCAGCGAGACCGTTGGCTCCATCTTCCCGAGCGGTAACTCCACAACCTTTAAGGCCGGATAAAGCAACAACACCACGTCCAGAGTTTAGGCCGCCAGCTCCAGGCGAGTTTAATGCTGCTAGAACTCCTCTCAGGCGGACCAGCTCTTCGCCGTCTCTTCTTCCGTCTGCGACTCCAGGGCCTTATCGTCCGCCACCACCGCCGCCACCACTTCCTCAGTGGCGCCCGCAAGCTTTGGTTACACCGCAAGTTATGACTCACAGCCAGAGCCAGCTACGTCCTGGACTTGCTGTTGATAATCGGTCCATGCAGCTCTTGGATGCGGTGAGCTTTGCAGCTCTGAATCTGCTCATGCACATCTACAATCAGGCAGAAGCTTTTGTACAGAAGAATCAACAGCGAGCTGTGGTGGAAACTTCTTCTGTCAAGGTATCATTGTTCTATGTCGCTTGCCTCAAAGTTTTAAAGGTTTTTAACATCTACGTACCAGGGTAGCGATGTTTCTTCGGAGCTCAACTCTGGCACTGACGGTAGGCAACCTGAGCAGGAGAAATGTGATGGGATGACTCAAACGAGGGAATTTGAATCGGTTCGACGTGATGGAGCCACACAGACTGCAGGCCAAGGGGACCAACCCCGTTATCCTTCACCTGGAGCGTCCCGGCGAAATCAAATGGCTGGGCCGTCAGCTCCACCAGTTTATGACTATAGAAGAGAGCCTCCTGCTCCACGACGAAGGCCAAGGTACCAGCAGCAGCGAGCACTCTACCTTGGAAATCCTGCCGGGCTACGTCCTTTGCCAGCTCCAAAGCCTCGGAGACGTCTTGACATGTTTCATATTCTGAGGCCGCACATTGATCGGAGCTACTACACCGAAGATGACGATCCGTATATGCGGAGAAGGAACAGAGGTATGCGAGAAGAGTTTTACTATCCGGAAGAATGGGAATCGTGGAGTCCTGTAAGAAGACAGGTTCAGCAGCGAGTAGTTCTGAGGGAGGAAGACGATGAGGTTGATCTCAAGCAGCAGCAGGAAAAACACAAGCAGGATCAAAACGTTCAAGTTTTGAGTCCCCAGTCCTCGGCTCGCTCTGTTGTTTCGTCGAGACAGACCTCCGCATCCTCGACCGAGTCTGACGATGACAACGGTGCATCAACTTCGTTGCCAGAGATTTCCATCGACCTGACGTGCACTTACGAATTTGGTTTCGCTGGTGGCGGTCGGAGAAAATGAAGTTTTATCACCTCAGGTAGCTTCTTTCTTTCGTCTTTTGGGTAGGGCTTCAACAATGGCTTGGATGTTCCAACAGGTCCGCTGGAGAATGAGTTGGGCGAGGAAGCATCGTGACCAAGACCTCTGGGACGCTCTCAACGATCTCAAAGATGAGCTCCATTTCAAGCAGGCGGTCGTTCGGTTCGAGCGTAAGCAGGAAATCCTTCACTCGTGGCCGGAGGAGCACCTCCAGTTGGAAGGCCCCAAGTCGGAAGACACACGGCTCATGGGCGACTCGCTGCTCCAAGGCTGGCAAAGCGGCATTCCTCCACAACGCTCACTTGCATGGTATGTGGCTCAAAAGCGCCCCGTGAATCCAACAATGGTCGCTCAAGTTCTTCACAGGTGCCGGACTCCTTTTGTCGCGTGGGAGTTTTTCGACTGGGCTAGGAAGTTGCCTGGATACCAACACACTGGAGCTACTTGCGCTATGCTCTTCCGGGTGTATTTTCTGTCTGGCTATCCCAACGCAGCTATGAAGTTCTTCAAGGAACAAGTTCCTAGTCTGTGCAACCCAACTGAGATCCTCTACAACGTTCTCATTCAGGGGCTGTGCTTAGCTGGGAAGATGCAAGAGGCGATCAACCTTTATGAAGAGATGACTGGAGTTTGTGGAGTTCCTCGTCCCGGGAGAAACACCAACCTCATTCTCAGGGATGGACTTATTCACAATGGCTACCTTTCAGAGGCAGAGGAGTTTGAAAAGAAACTAGATCTACGTAAGGGAGGCAGCAGTGCAACAAAGGCTACAGACTTCGTTAAGCTTCGAAGGAAAATCTGGAGATCAAAGTTATCGGAGAAAGAGCTCATTCACCAATGTCGCAATCCGGAGGTTCAACAACAGGGATTGCTAAAAAGACGGCGGAGACCATTAAAGAAGAAAAGGACCTTCAAACCTCCACGTCCAAAACGAAGAGAGCCTCACGCCGAATTTGCAAGCTTAAGCTGAAAGGTGACACTTGCTCCGATATCTTAAAGTCAAACACTAAGATCGTCTTTGACAGATAGATGCTCTCAGTGGGTTCTTCATCTGAACCGTGAAGACTGTTCTCGGGCTTAGATCCACTTCCTTGCCTTCGGCTCTCCACTCGAATGCCTGGACCAAGTTGGCGACAATGAGATGAACGTGTAGCATTCCGAGGTGCTTCCCGGGACAATCTCGCCTTCCAGCTCCAAACGGGATCATGCTCATTCTCTTGCTCAACTCGGTCTGCTCGAAGAACCTTTCCGGCAGGAACTTGTCGGGATTCTTCCAAACGCCTGCATCGTTGGACAGGCTCTGGAGATGAACCACCACAGTGCTTTCCTTGGGGATGTCATATCCTGCGAGCTTGGTTGCGTGAACCGGCGTGCGAGGCGCAGACAAGTACACCGGAGGGTGTTTTCTCAGAGCCTCCTTGACGACCGCATGCAGGTATGGCAGCTTTGGCAGATCAGCAACTTTCACCCCGCTTTTCTGCCCGACGTTTTCAGCCAGCTCTCGAAAGACTCTCTCCTGTATTCCTGGGTACTTGATCAGGTTGGCCATACTCCATTCAACACAGTTGGTGGTGGTGTCAGCCCCGGCAATGAAGAGCTCCCTCACGAGAACAGCTAAGTCGAGGTCGACATCCTCCAAGTTCTTCCCTTGGAGTGAAAGCAAAGTCTGGACGTAGCTTTCGCTGGCCGCTGGACATTCTCGGGACAAGAGCCCTTTGAGCAGCTGGTTTTGACGTACCAAGAAGCTCTTCTGCTTGGTGTGGCTAGTGAAGACTTTGAGAAACGGAACCAGATCCCCGAGCACAGGATGCAGCATCGTGGTGGCCTCCTTCATCAGAGCGTTGAGCTCCTCCAACTTGGCCTCCTCCAACTTTCGTCCAAAGCATACAAAGCTCAGGATCTGGAAGAGAACGCACCTTACACTCACGGACAGGGACTCGACAGTGCCGCCGGACTGTTTCGCCTCGGATGCAAGCTTTCGCACCAGATCTTCCGCGGCTTGTTCTTGGACCGGAGCGAAGCCGCTCATCACCCGCGGGCTCAGGATGCCACTCACCAAATTCTTCCTCGTGGCTCGCCAGTGGACTCCATACGGCGACGAGTTGATGGTCTTGAAGCCGCTGGTGAGCAGCCTCATGGAGGGGACGTCGGGCCTCGAGGCAAGCACCGAGCCTTTCTCGACCAGCGCCTCGCGAGCGATGTCGGGGCTGGAGATGAGGATGGTGGCGACGGAGCCATTCCAGAGCGTGACGATGGGGCCATACCTCGCGACCAGCTGCTGGAACTTTTGTGGATCGGAGAGGAGCCGGGGGATCTCACGCATGGATCCAAGAACAGGCCAGCCGATCGGGCCGGGTGGCATTCGCCGGCGGAGATTCAAGTGCTGGAGGAAGAACAAGCTCCATGAAGCGAGAGCGAGCAACGCGATTGTGGCCACTAGCGCTGCAAGGTCCATGGATAAAGAAGATCTCGTGGACTAAAAACGTGGTCTGTTTAGCTTCAGCAGGGATGGCAGACCTGACATTTTATATACGACAGATGAACGGTATCATTCCTCCAAACTTTGGACCACACTGAGCAGAATCTAACTTGAAGCTTAAGTACACACAGGGAGAGGTTTTGAGTGTTCCACACTCCCCTTTTGTACTTTTGCTTTGGTGCCAATTCTTCTCGTCTTTGGCTGGAATACAAAGGCAGCCCATTTGACAAAATAAAAAGGGTTGAAGGAAAAAACTGTCCAGTTTTTTTTCCTTTCTCATGGATAAGCATTGTGCATGGCATTTTTATCGCCACTTGTCAAGTTGGAGATACCTTTAAGATTAGCACAACTGTCCGAACGAAATAAGTCTTAAGACTAAATTAAAAATTATAAAGCTCTTTCTATTTAGATTTAAGTTGAAACTTTTTCTCAATAGTATATAACTTATATTATTTAAAATTAAATTAGTTTTATAATAAGAATCTAATCTATTTTAAAATTACCAAAATATTTCCTAACATTATATTTCAAGTTGGTCACACATTTCAAAACAGTTGCAAAATGCATAAAGAATGAAAGAATGCTGAAAATTAATCTTACATACTTAAGGAAATACAGTGCGAAAGTGATTTGGTCCTTCTTGTTAAAATATTTCAGGCTTGATAATCAACATGCCTACGCTATTCTTTCAGCAATCTTCCATAGCTTGGGGTGTTCTGATAGTTTACATAGCATCAATCCAAACCAGATATGAGCATTTTTAAGGCTCTTCAGCCCCCCATGCTAAAGATAATATCAAGAAGCAGCAAAGAGAACAAAGTACCTCCGTAACAACCAGCAATGTGTTTCTATCTCTCGACCTTGTATTGTCTTGATCTTTTTGGCTTTCAACTTGCCTGCTTCCCCAATGAGACGCCTGTTCGATTTCATCGTCTGTGAGCTGGCTTTAGAACTCGGTTTGAGAGACAATGCACAGATCTAGATAAGTAATCAAATCTGGAATGCATAGGTCTGGGAGTGCTGGAGACTGAAGTGGAGCAACATACCAATTCATGTAACTGTAAGAATCTTGAGACAGTTAAATAAACAGCAAAACTTTATTCATATGAAAACTACATACGTATCAATTTATTGAGGTAGCATACGCAATCCTGGCTTCAAGTATCCACTTAGTTCTCTCCCAGAAAGGCAAAGATACCCTGAGCAACAACAAACAGCAAGTACTTCAACTTAGTGAATTAGTCTTGCAGGAGTCGTGAGCATCACTTACATGGAGCATAGTTAAGTCTGAGAGGATGCTCTCAAGCGGCCCAAAGATCGAATACATGTCAGGCAAATTTCCCTACCGAAGTAGGGATCGTATTTACAACAAAACCATTTGGGGCAGCTAGAATCTTGACAAGCACCACTAGCAACCATGAAGCAAGCAAGGAGGCAGAGTGTGAAGAAGCAAAGAGCTGCTGCAGTGACCTTCATCGTGTTCGCCCCTTTTTGGAATCCAGAGAGGAACACCTATGTTATTATATACCATTACTATCCGGCCACTTGGCACAGCTATTTTATTGCAAAACACTGTCGATGATGCTTTTCTGCCAGCTTGAAGATAGATATTGTGCTTGGAGGAGGCAGAATTAGTTAAATGCTTGATGCAATATGCAATACTTTCCATCTCAAATAAGCACAATAATTTTATGAGATTATGGTTCCTAAAGTTAAATTATGATTGGGGAGGTACATGACATGCTATTGGCAACCATGAAGGAAACAAAGCGTGAGCCTGCAATTTTCTTCATAGTGAAATGTGTTAATACCAGCTTAATAGTGTTTTTCCACAATGTGAACATGACCTAATGCCTTCACAGCTGCACTTTACTATATCTAATAATTTCCTGCACGTAATATTACAAGGTTGAAGTAGATCAATGACATGATGGATGCAATGCATAGCATAATGTTTCTTGTTGGTATGCCCTAGATAGGACTCTCCATTTGTTGAAGCATCTTTTTCTCTAGTTGTGCGGTCTTTTTCCATAGGTGTAATAGCTATGGATTTTGTTCAATTTTTCTGTCGGCTCTAGCCAGAGAAAATTTTGAGTGTCCAGATTTCCACCACGTACGCAAAGAAATGTAAAGCTGAGTTGACATTTAAATATTTTATGCTATAAATAGAAAAAAATTATATTAAATAGCATAGTGAGATTTTTTAGCTATTGTAAAGATTTCAACCTGGACCACTCCTCTTGTATATAATCTAGGGTTTTGAAGCTAATTCTAATATACATTTTTTTTTTGTCTTCTAGATATCTTTGACTGGCTCTAAGGAGCATTTGAATTTATACTTTATGTTTACATCATTTATATCTCTTTTACTTTTGTAGTTTTTCAATATTTTCTCTTTTTTGTTTTTCCTTTTCTTTTAATATACTCTCCCTTTGGAGCAATAATTGGTGCAGTTGCTAAATGATATATAGGTACATCTAAACAATTAGAATAGCATATGGTGCAACTTTAGAGCTGTATTTGCAAATAGAAATGAATGACTTAAATAGATAAGGAAACTCCTCCATTTATATACATGTGAGTTTTTATTAAATCCAAATTCTTTCTTTCTTTGAGCAAGATATATTTGTGGCATGATTAGCTAAAAGGGCTAAGAGGCAATGATAATTTCAAATTAAATTTAAACTTCAAGTTCATAAGTTGTAATATACTTTCTGTTATAGAGATGAAAACTATCACCATGGAAACATAAACGTTTGAGAAATTATTTTTTTGCAAATTTTAAACTTCATAAACTTGATAATCTTGATTTATTTTCTCCTATGAGGGAGGAAGTTGTTATGTCTTCTCCCAAGAGTATATTTAATAGAAAGCTAATAAATAAAAAGAACATTTTTAATAGTTTTTTACAAAGTTTGGCTTGCTTTGGAAAGCTAGAAAAAGTGAAAAAAAAATCTTACTGTTCTAATGTTTGTTAAATTCTCAATATTAATAACACAATAGAAGAAATATTATTAAAATCATTCATAGGCATGCTCAATCTTTTAGTTTAAATTTCTCTAGAAATATGGCAAGAGTCACTAAGTTTGAAGAATAACATTTGCTGAAATTAGTTATAAAGCATTTAGAAGGTAAAGCAATCATCTTAGATTAATTAATACATAAGCTTTCATAATTTACGAGCAGTGGCAAAATGTTATCTTACAGTGAGTAATAGATAAGTCTTCATGATTTAAGGGCTTGAGCAAGAAAATAATAAAATATAATTCTAATCCAAAGAAAATTATGAATGATATTGATTAAAGTTTTAAATTAACTATTTTATATACATGCATCTTTATTCATCATTAAAATATTTAATTATTTAATATAAATTTTAATATATTATGTTATTTTATTTTTAACTTTTTTATTCATTTAGTAAACTGTTTGATGCTAAAACGTTTTAAGAAACTATATACTATATACGTGGTATAAAATTGTTTTATTTAAGTTAGAAAAAAACTCAAAGAAATTTATTTGATGATTAACTATTAAATTTTTTTTATGGAAAATTAGAGTTCTATATTAAGAAAAATAAAATAAAATATAATTTGTTGACTTAACTTTTTTTAAAACAAAATACAACATTCAAGACACTATGTCAAAATATCTATACTATCCTTAATTCCAATGAGAAAGAGAAAAGAAATTTCTCTTACCTTAAAAACCTTTTTTATAAGGGTATTAGTTAATATTGAAACCATTAAACCTTTTGGGTTTTAATTTTAATTTTCCAGGTAGAGAATACTAATAATAATGATACTATCCCTTTGCTGTTGGAGGTCCACAACACCATGGTGTCTACTTACATTCGCATTGGAAGAAGTTCTCCCAGGGTGAACGCCTCAGTGTGGATCTAGTCGATTCTGGCATGGTTTGGCATTAAATTCTGCAGCATGTTCTATGCCTCAAACAACAAGCTCTGGACGTGCTCAAGATTGTCACAAAGAAGTTTGGTTGTGTCCACAGCGGCATTCAACCAGTATATTGGTGCAATTCAGCATGTCGTCCAATGCCAGATGCCACTGTGCTGAAGCTCAGGAATGCGTGTCGGGAGCTGGAGGCGTCATAGGTGGAATCCGAACTAGTTGCCACGCTTGAATGTCAAGTCAACTTGTCCAAGTCCTTACTCACTGTTTGTGATGTTGACTCTACCTGCGCAAAAGTCCCTGCATGATGACCTCGATCAAGCCAACGCTGAGCACAGGTTAGCACTCCTATATTTGGTCCCAGAATCCAGAGCGTCATTTCTTCACCAGTGACTGGGGTGCGTAGCAGCATCTCCTTGCAACTTCATCCAGTCATGCATGCGGAGATGGGCTAGGTCGTTACTATTGTGCTGCAGCTGTGCGTTGTGCCTGAGAGGGTGGGAGGCAGGCTTACACGACCTCGAGCTATACACAGTTACCACTTCGCATGCATCCTTGCATCCATTCACATGAGTATGTGTTGGTTGTATGAGACATGTGGTGTACGTTGGGGAGGCATGGACTTCAGAGCTGCAAAGGGCTGCATCCCCAGTAAGCTGGTCAATTTTGTTATTGTAATGGCTGGTAACTTGTTCTATATTCTTTTGCAAGAGGTTGAGACTAGTCGAGCCAGATCTCCTCACGGAAATGAAACTCTGAGCCAGTCATTTTGAACACTTGGCCACATTGACATTCACTATTCCCATGAGCTCTCACTAACAACGTGGTTTCTTAGACATGGACGACCCCAATCATCACTCACTTGGTGCTATAAATAGGACTTCTAAAATGAGAAAATTATATCTAGTTTGGCAATTAATTTTAAATATTTTTCTTAATAGTGCTTTATTTGGTATTTTTTATCTAGTTTAGCTTTTAGTGTGAGATACTTTTTAGTATACTTTCTTAAAATATTTTTAATAAAAGTGTTACTCTGTTTTTCATTAAATGTTACACATGATTTTCTTATGGTAAAATATTTAAGATTTTGTATAGTTTAAAAAAAATAAAATGATATGGTTAGTACAAGTTTTGATTTTATCTAGTTTTAGGTTCAACTCTTGGCATACTTAACAACACCTCACTATAACAATCAATTTGTAATAAGCAACTTTTGTGCTTTGACATACAAGAAAAATTGTTAGTACATTTTGATTACCTTAGAAAGCAAATGTTTGCTTGCCTCTTAGAGAGTGTATTTGTGTGAGAGAAAGAATATTTTGATTCCTAAAATATTTCCTATCCTCTTTCCTTGCCCCACAAGGGCAAAAAAGGGGCATTTGTGGAGAGCATTAGAGCAATTTTTCATGTTGGAGTAAGTGTTAGGGGAGTGCTTTTCATTCCCTCAACAAATGGTGAACATAGCATGATGTACATCACTTTTTTTGGAGTCATTTTTCTCTTTCTCTTTCTCTTTTAGCTGCAGAATTTCAAGAGTTATTTCTTGTTAGTCTTGCAGTGGATTGCTTGATCTTCATCGGGTTGGATATGTCTACTTCTCCTCTTTCTAACAAGGTATAATGCTTATCAAGCCGTGTGGTATTCAAGGAGATACAACATTTTTTGACTCAATTTTGTGAACATTTTGGGACTTATTTTTTCTTGCCTAGATTCTAGGCCCAATTTCTCAAAAAGGTGCATATGGGTTTATAAATTTAACTTAGATCTACAAGTAAAGGTGATTTTTGATGTTAGAATTGAAAGAATTTATAGCATGCAAAAAGATTTTCTTCCTTGACTAAATAGGGGTGTCTTTGTAGTAGAAATTTGGGATTTTTTGGACTTTTTTCTAGATGTTGTTTCTTTCTAAAAATGCTTCTTGTCCTAGGCTTTGCATCAATAAATTCAACATATTATTATCAATTTAAATGTAAACTTTTGAGTTTAAATTTCTTAGGAGATCACTCAGCCTAATATCATTCAAACCCAAAACCCTTAACCAATTGAAAAAGGGAGTTTGTTATTATTTATGGTTTCTCTTCATATTTGAACTCCTATAAAAAAAAATTGAGTTTTTTTCCTTGGTTGCTTATATTAGATTATTGATATGTAGATGGTTTTTCACAATATTAATGTTTTGGGCTTTGTTTCTTGGATCTCATGGGATATTGAGGCATTTTCATTATGGATCTTGGGATAAGGTTATAGATTGGGTTGGGCTCTTTTCAATGAGCCTATTTATAGTTAGAATGGTTAAAATTGAAACTAAAATACTCATTTTCCTCTTTTAAATTAAACTTAGATCAAATTTTCTTGGGAAAGAAGCAATCTTTCCAATAGATGTGCTTAAAGGTGGGTCTTGGGATGTTAAGAGAGTTGCCCTAAAGTAAATTTACTAACTAGATTACATCTTCCATTTTCAAGCTTGTTTTTCATTATAATGAGCATTTTAGGTGACTTTAAGCAACTTGCTAAAAGGCCCAAAATAAATAAAGGGCCAAAGGCCATCTAAGCCATTTATTTTGGTTAAGGGTCCGTTCGACCTATTAGAGAAGTTTA